GTTTCGTCGATTTTGGAAAACCATACAGGCTTACAGTGAAGGAAAAGATTACCGAGAAGTTCTAACGATGTTTTTCAGCGGATTGTGCAAAGATAAAATCATAAGTCATCGTAAAATAACAAATGCTTGGATTTGCGTAGAGAGGACGTTGTATGCGATCGAGCTCGAGACAACTTTTTTAGGCTCATTTTCATACGAGGAATCCGAATATCACGTCGAAAATTTCATAAATGAAAAGCAAAATTTTTGGGGCAATTTTTCGGAAAACATAGATTTTTCGAGTTTTTGACAATTTGTCAGTATTTTCCATTTTTCTCCGTCAAAACTTTGTTTAAATCAAAAAATAAGGCCAGATTTGGAATCAGCAGCATACAACGAATCCGAATATGTGTGTTTAAACGAAAAATAAAAAGTGCTGAAATTTTGAATTACCGGCGCCTTAGTTACGTGCCTTATTTTGTTTAACAGACAATGTTTATCTGATTAAAATAAGATCGTTTCAATTAAGAACAAAAAGGTTCCAAGTATATAAATAAGTTTATAAAGCTTGTAATTGTCATTATGGTATACATATATGTAATCCTACTAGTGTTTATAAGCCTAATGAAAATATTGTATTATAGAATAATATTATGTGTGTGCAATTGCGGTGATTTGGTTGATGATATTCTGGTGTGGATCTGAAACAAGGTTAAATAAACGTTCATCTATATCTTGATATTTTTTGTTATATTCTTTTTCGAAACTTATTCATACAAAACGTGAAAAGCGACTATAAAAGACAGGTTTAGGTTTGTGTAGTTCATACACAGAGAGAAGAATGTTAAATAATTTATGATCGGCTTTTGTGGATAGACGCAGTCCTAATACCTGGCGTTTATGCTCTTACTAAATTGAGAATCGTTGGTGGTATATCGATACCGACGTCTCTAATAATTATGGATGGATTGTATTTTATTAAAAAATTGATAAGTTAATCATTTGTTCGTACTTTTTGTTCTGGTTACAGCACAGATAGTTCTGGAAGTAAGAAAGAGAGTTTCCAACGTCCGGGCTGAGCTCATTTACTCAAAAAATCTCCTATCAATGTGAAACGGGAGGAAAAGGGGCAAAATCCTTTTACTCGAACGAAACTTGCGCAGAACTGAGAACAAAAAGGAGGTCAGATATCGAAAAATGGATGATCATACCTTAATTCTTATCGACTACCATTTTCGGCGTGTTATTTAATAAAGTTGTGAGATTTTATCACAGACTTAAATGAATTAATTGGTCATAATTGAGAAATCTAACCGTTCAAGCTTGATTTTATTCTCAATAAACGATTTTTTTGATAATTGGAAAACTTGCTTCTCTCGGAAACACTGTGCACTGGCATCTGCCGTTATTATCGTGGAAACTGGAAATCCGGTTCAGGCGTATTTTGTGGGATTTTTGGAAAAAGTAGCCAAGTACAGTTATAGGTCAACTAACATAAAACAAGAAAAATGGCAATAATGATGGTTTTGCGATGAACTATATAAGAAAAATTTCAACACGCTAGTGGATGAAGTGACTTTTTTTGAAGCTCTTAATGCAATAACAAATCGCCTCAAAACAGATAGAAGATAGAAAAAAGAAAGTTCCACAGTAAAAATTGATAGATATAAAAATTGACTGGACCCCCTCATACCCTTTATATTTAAAAGACATAGTCGGAACTCTAAGCCAATCCTGAGCAAACAAGAAGAAATTTCTAAAATTTGTTTATTGGATTCACATTGAAAAGTCGCACACTTACATAAACGCAATAATAAATGTACAGCCCTAGACTTTTAATTAACTTGAACAAAAAACAGCTCGGCTTTTTTACTCCTGTTCCCTGATAATGCTAATATCATATTTGTAACTTGGACTAAATAGACTCAGTTCTCTCTCGGCTATCAGTGATGATTTTGATAATATTCCGCTACTTCTTCTTCAACTTCAGGCAGCGGATTTATAGTTCCATCTGGTTCAATCATTTTATATTCTCCATGGGCTTCCTTATTTCGTCGAAGAGCTTTTGTCAACCGTCTTATCATCTCATTCGTGAATACTTTACCATCATTTGCTTTAATCATTATCGAAATTATTTGTAATAATTTGATAAGTACAATGTCTTTCTCTTCAGCCGATGCATCATTGTTTACCGCACAATAACGTCCGCCACACTTAGTTATTAGTTCTTTTATTTCCTCATCGCCATCCTTAATAAATTGCTCAATTGTCTGATCATCTTTTTCAACCGAATCCAGATGTGTCATAACAACAATACAATAGTCAAGAGCTTTTTCGCCAAATTTTTCCTTGATCCATATTATACAAGCTTTTTCTTCTGGCGTAAACCGTGTATCACAACGAATAACAATAAGAAAGGCATGCGGTCCGGGAACGACTGTTTGAATACAACGAGCGATCTCTTTGTGACATTCCGATTGTGACAATTTATTATCGAACAATCCCGGAGTATCAACAACACTCATCTGAATACCTTTGAAAAGGCGATTACCAACAGCACATTTTTCCGTTACAGATTTTGTTGATTGCTTCGATTTAAACCATTTTTGTCCCAATAATGTATTACCAAGTGAACTTTTTCCTACAATACCAAGCAGTGAGAGAGAAATCGTCAGAGCGAAATTATGTTCGTCCAATGAGAATTTTGCTAAGAAACTAGCATAAGTTACTTCTGAATGGCTAAAAAAACTGCCATACGTCAATTTTGCCATTTACGACATTCGTACACGAGAACTAGGCTGCTTTGTGTGAGTATGCACAATCATCAACATATTATGCTTTTTTCACGAGAATTTTGTATGTCTGCATAGAAACGTTTTTGTCTGCTCACCGGAATAATGTCAGAAAAAATTTTGTGAAAAGATACACAATTCTCGTGAACAGAGCATAGTATCTTCTGGACTATGCATAATTCTCACATAAAACAGCATAGTTCTAATGTAAATCCATTATTCCCGTGACGTAGACAAAAACGTTTTTATGAAAAGGAACAAAATTCTCGTGGAGTAGTATAATAGCTGTTTCTTCATTTATCTCCCACTCATCACAAAAAAGGGTTAAAAATCGATTTCTCGATGTGACATTAAACCATCTGCCTTTTTGGACTCAAATAGTTGAAATGCATTCAGCCAGGAACCTATAGAGCGCCCAATTTCATTAGTCTGGTCTATCGGTAGGTGGAAAGATGCTCCTAAAAAAAGCTGAAGATAAAGGTCGGAAAGGATAACATGTTTGGTTTGAATTTATATAATTTGCCGATTCCCGTAACATCTACTAAATTAGCTAGTTTGAAGCTGAATTGGCCTAACAATTACTATTACTTTCCTCAAAATCTTGTAACTACTAGTTAATGATAAAACTATCTAACCCCAAACAAACGTTTTCATACAATGCCTATCTTTCGTTCCTACTATTAAACATGTTTTCTCAAGAAATATTTACCAGCTCCAGTTCGTCCCAGACAGATAATTCTCATAATATCAGATTGCGTTTGCTGTTCGCCCTCATTGTACCAATCACTGTGTTTAAATGGTTTCTTCTCCAACGTATCGTTGTCCTATAATGTTGTGGAATCAAGCATTAACTTTAAAACAAACCAAATGGATTTTAAAATTATATGCACACCCTGTCATTTAGTTTTGTTACAGCGGTTGGCATTGAATATCTGTCCATCATTCTAGATTAGATTTTATAAGTTAGAGCGTATTGCACGATTATCAAATAAAGGAGATCTACAATGAACGCTGTCATATTTCTAATATCAGCTTGGTTCAGCAATCTTTTTTGTTAACAACCAACGAAGTTCTAAACGTGTTTCTTCTTTTTACATACAATCACATCTTTTTATTACACCGAAAAGAACGATAAAAGTATAACATGTTTTCTCTCTTTTTAGTTACAAGGTCTTTCTTTTGCCTTTTCTGTTTATTACAATGAAAACGATGATGCTTTTTTTTTCTCTTTAGAGAACAAAATGTGTGAGCAGAGAACAAACTATCGTTAAGCAAAAATATTATTTAAATAAGGTTGCGATGGTTTTACGTTTCCTGTTTGATGTATATTCTAAAGAGTAAAATCTGTTATTGTTATTTTTGGACTTGCACGGCAACCAACTGAAAATTATGCGTCGCTCTTCTTCAAATCGAAACAACAGTACATGTGCTGCTTCTGTCAAATTTATATCAAAATTAAACATATCACCAGAAGATGACACTCTTATTCCATTATCACCACAAACAACTACTACGTCGTCATTAGTACAAGACGCAGCAGTTATTACAGAAAGGGAAAGAGCTGAAAGTCGTCCTTCACTGAAAACAAGTGAAGATGCTATGATAATTTTGCTTGATCCTTGGATGGATGACAGTTCCATTGAAGTACTTCTAAATCAGATAGCAAGTACGGTAATATCGTTTAGAAGTGCCGATGATTGTACTAATTACATATCTGGTATTCAAACAGAAAACATTTTTCTAATTATTTCAAGCTCATTAAATGAAACAATAATTCCATTTGCTGTTAGACAACCACAAGTCGTTTCTATTTATGTACTATTTACTGGATCAAATGAATGGACATGTGACTTTTCGATTACTAAAGATGATTGGCCAAAAAAATTGTCTAGTATTTTTTATTCGAATAACAGACTAATAACTAGACTTGCGTCTGACATTGAGCTATGGTCGAAACGTCCTATGTCAATGAGCTTTCTGAAAGAAGCAGCAGACGAGCAACAGGCTGCTCAGGATATAAACAGAGAGAAGTCCTCGTTCATGTGGTATCAAGTTTTACTTGAAATATTGTTACGAATGCCAGCTAATTCGGCTATTGCTAAAAGTGAATTGATAGAGGAATGTCGAAAGATTTATACGGATAATATTATAGAACAGGAAAAAATCACTGAATTCGAAAGAAATTACACGCCTGATAGGGCTATATGGTGGTACACACGTGATTCATTTTTTTTTCGTTTATTAAACAAAGCCTTACGTATAAAAGACATTGATGTTATATTCAAATTTCGTCTCATAATCAAAGATCTCCATAATCAATTAAAACGTTTACATTCAGATTATCTTCGAATGTTATCCGAGTCGAACAATGTTAATGACTTTATTACAGTATATCGAGGACAAATTATTTCGCAACAAGAATTTTATAGATTTAAAAATAATATTGGTGGATTTGTATCAATAAACAGTTTCATTTCAACATCAGTACGTTTAGAATTAGCAACGATATTTGCTGTGGGAGATCGATCGCACTTTGGAGAATCTGTTATTTTTAAAATCATAATTGACTTGAAAATTCGTACAAAACCATTTGCTAGCATTAGCCATCAAAGTGCTTTTGTTGATGAAGATGAAATTCTATTATCAATGGGTACAGTATTTCGTGTTGATTCAATAGAAATGAATAATGAGAATAACTTTTGGTATATAACATTGTCTGTAGGTGAACAAGACGATCCGCAATTAAAAGAACTGACTGATCATTTAAAACAAGAAGTTGGCAGAGTTACTGATAATTTAACATTGGGCAATTATTTAGGTGATATAGGAGATTATGAAAGAGCAGCACGATACTATGCAATGCCGCAAGATCTTCCACCAGATCAAATTGATCTCGGAACACTTCATAATAATATCGGATGGCTATATAATTGTAAAGGAAACTATCGAGCGGCTATTACCAACTACGAAAAAGCTCTTGAAATTCAACAGCAACAGTTACCTTCTAATCATATTGATTTAGCTGCAACCTATAATAATATAGGAATGGTATATTACGAGCAAGATGATTGTGAAGCGGCATTAGTTAACCTTCAAAAATCACTTGATATCAAACAGAGAGGTGATCTACCATTAAATAATGAATCAATCGCTATAACGCTGAATAACATTGGACTTGTTTATCATAAAACGGGAGCTTATGAAAAAGCTTTCGAGACTTATAATGAAGTACTTAAACTACAAAAGTGTTTACCAGAGACCCATTACAATCTTGCTACGACATATACTAATATCGGTGCCGTTCATTACCATCAAGGTAATTATCCAGATGCTTTGGTTAACTATGAAAAAGCTCTTAGTATACGAACTAATGCGTTGCATTCAACTCATCCTGATATTGCAAAAACTCATGTCAATATTGGTCTTGCCCAAGAAACCAGAGGTAATTATTATGAAGCATTACAAAGCTACAAACTAGCACTTGAGATACAGAAAAACGTTTTGCCGGAAGATCATATTGATATTGGTACGACTTATAGTCGACTAGGTACAGTCTATAATCGTCGACGTGAATATGATCTAGCATTAGAAAATCAAGAAAAAGCTCTTGAAATATATTCAAAATCCTTAGCACCTAAACACCCGTATATAGCTACTGTTTATAATAATATGGGTCTTGTCTATGAAAACCAAGGTGATAACGTTAAAGCGTTGGAATCGTACGAAAAAGCATTAGAATTATATTTGAAAACGGTTTCACCAACTCATCCATCATTAGCTAAGATCTATGATAATATAGGTCGACTGTCGGAACAGAAGGGAGACTACGAAAAGGCATCGATGAGCTTTATGACAGCTCATGATATTAGTGTTAAACACCTGCCGTCAAATCATCAAGATATCAAATTATACCAAATGCATAGTGAAATCGTTAGACGTAAAGCAGAAGCAGCTCTGTCATTAGCTTCTCCGCTAACTGTAAATAAGACTCTTACTCAAGACACAAAACGTACTCGTAAGTGCCGTTGTTGCTGTCGATGGACAATCTCGTTCAGCCGAGAGTGAACTGCAACATTCACTTCCGAGATAAAATCCAATTTTTCGCAAGTTGTACAGAGAAAATACTCGATGTCACAAAGCGCTGGCTATTTCGAAGCAATACGGTTGCACTATGACATATTACCTATTTATCGAGGGATAACCGATCACCATTAGTTAATCAATTAATGAGTTCAAATAATCAAGTAATTATTCAGTCGTGCACAACTTCTGTGTATTCGACGGAAAACTCATCTTATAATCTAATGGTTTATGTTGATTACTAGTTGATATTCCAAACACAAAGTGCGCAATACCAAAAGAAGACTGATTGTAAACATATTTGATATTTAATAACTAGAAAGACTGTGAGAAAACATGTTGTACAAATATTCTAGATAGCTTTTTTAAAATGACAAATAAATGTCTTTTTCTCTCATTTTGGCACTCTCGGACCCTGTTGACTTGGAAACTGGTGAATTGTACGACTAAACAGTCACACTTTCTGTCGAAGTAAAAAGTCGTTTTTAAAGATTTAAATTAAGACTCAGTCAAAAGATTATTTGGTGATAACGATTCACGATTTAATATGTTAAACACCTTCAAAGGTTATTCAACCTTCGAGATTGGGTTTTTGGAAGGCGTGTAAACGCATTAACGCCATGAAATTGTTTTCCTTCATACATTTGAACGCTTATTATTTCGTACAAGTCTAACTTATCAGAACTTTTTAATAGATTAAAAGACCTTTGGTGATTCAAAATTTCTTCCTCTAAACGGTTGACCATCAGCAGCATTAAAATATTATGCATTAGGTTTAAAAATTATTCAAACGTGTTATCCTTCATGCCATCCAGACTAGGCAGCTACTTACAGTAACAGAGGAGATGTTTATTCTTCACATCGCGATTCTGATTATGTTCTAGGATATTTGAGAACAAGTTTAAAAATAGAAACAAAATGTTTGCCACTCATCAGGCTCTAGTTACAGCATATTTTAATATTGCTAATGTTTATTCTTGAACTGAACATATACCTGAGTCTATAGAATTTTGCGAAGAATCATTAGCTATTGGCTAATTGTATACAGTATCGAATCCCTTTAACATTCTCAGTACAAAGTAATAGCATTTTTATTCGTAACAGGTTGAAACTATAGAAATTTGCTACCTGAATGTTCCACACGTGGTAAACAATGACTGTTGATAACTCTAAGCAGGTATCGCTGTTGAGGTCCAATGTGCTGTTCTCTACCCCACAGTTGTGAATAAGTTTGTGAAAATGTGAAATGCATGAGAGGAAAAGAGATTGGAGAGGCATTATTAACAGAAAAGTTCAATGCCTTGGTAATTAATGAAATCTCATTTGAGATGCTTGTTTTCTGAATGAAGTGTCATATACAAACAAACAAACCAGTAGCGAGAAAACAAAAGTGATTGACCATATACAGTTATTAAATATTACGCAAAATCAATTTATGTGACAAAAAAGAAGACATTAGAAACATTGTGTTCTAGATGAACGTTTATTTAACCTTGTTTCAGATCCACACCAGAATATCATCAACTAAATCACCGCAATCGCACACACATAATATTATTCTATAATATAATATTTTCATTAGACTTATGAAGAAAAGATTTTCTAAGAAATGATGATTTTTTCACCACTGTCATTATCACTATGAAGGACACCAAAAGTCTAGGATTTACTGTTGGAAATGTACGGACAATTCAAAAAATTTATAACTCATTGATTCAGAAAAAAACTTTTTAGTTCGAAATCAAGTACGAGCGAGTAAAAGGATTTTCCTTCTTTAACTACGGGGCTTGTTCAAAGGTAATACAGTGATATTTTTGACACAGTAATCTGAGGTTTTCTCGAAAACTATATGAGCTAGAAAGTTCGTTTCTGTGCCATTCGGCGCGGTTCTCGTTACTCTACTTTAAGTATAAAAACGAAGACTCGAGCTTCCAGAAAACCTTTTTAGACAGGTAACGCTGTGACATAAAAAGGTCCTAAATTCTAACTACTCTTCATTAAAGTGCAGATTTCTGCAAATTTAGAAGAGCTAATAAAAAGTGTCTTGAGAAAGTTTATAGAGGAGCTAACGGGCTTTCTTCTGGTAAAAAGAACTTTTGTCAAACCCATCCGCACGCGTAGAAAAGTCGATTTTGTAAAGTAACGCTGTAACACACTTTTGTCGCACCATTTTTAGGCACTACACGCTTTACGCCAGAAGAAAAAGCTTGTATAGTAGGTCAAGCAGCCACTGTGTCGCGACTGAAGAATAGATCTCATTTTGCAGAGAACCGAATTCTCTATTCAATGATATGTTTTTAAATACTTTTGAACAAAATGTCTAGGTCAGAAAACTGAAATTAAAGTTTTTACAAATTTCAACTTAAAATTTTTATATTGCAAATTAATTATACTTGAAAAAAAGTCAGATTCGTAATCATCATCAAAAGTTGCGTCTAATGATGTGGCCATATGAATTTTCCGATGAAAAAAGTTCAAAAAAACTTGTTCAGCAAAGTGCCGCATTACGTGGACAATCATAGCCGACAATCTGACTTGTCTGTTTAGCATATAGATACCTCACGGGTTATAAAAGCAAATCTCAAAAAAATGATTTTAATCGGTAAAAATGCTGAAAAACCCTTTCGATACCCGAAATATCAGTGCGATTGGTAAAAGTCAATCAGCTCTCCTGCATATTTAAATTTGATTAAAATTTTTCGAAAACACCGAAAACTGTATAAAACCTGTATAATCTTTTGGTTCTTTATTTTCGCAAATTTCTACTGTTGTACAGTTTTTCACGCACGCGCTATCGTAAACAAAAACTGCGACGGTAAATAATGCCATTTAAATGTTATTTTATATTGCGTGACACAGCCAAAAAGGAAACACCAGACTTCATCTACTTATTTGCTAAGGTTGACTTTCTAAAAGTACTACACATGTACAACTATCATCATCAATTAACTCATTTTCACCAAATTTATATTTTGCTGTTGGCCATGTCGGTGAGTTCTGAAGGAAATTTTTGTTTAATAATGCCATTCCGATAAAATCATTGAGTAGATGCACTGATGGGTTTTTATCTTTGTCCCATTTGCCGCTCTTTTTTTCTTGTTTATAAAGCCAACTATTTCTAGATCTAATTCGTAATTTTTTTCTATAGATCATTGAACATTCATATTGTGTCCATTTACTGGACATTTCTTGTATATAACATACTACACGTAAATGTTGTTGACCATCTTGATCGCTATTACGTGCTACTTGTTGTAATTGTGTTCTTAATTCAAGCTCATCAGCATTACATGTGCCTTCTTCCTCATCGGCTACTGACCAATCTTCTATGTATTTATGTTTATATTCGACGTGAATAGAAAAAAAGCAGTTAACGTTTAAATATACAAAAATGAGACCAATAATAAATTTTCGAATAAAGTACATAATGATTTTATGTTAAATAGGCCAAATAAAACAAAATAAACAAATTTCCAAAAAAAATAGGAATGACTGTTCTGAAATTGTTTCGCGCTAGTCTCATAGGCATCTTAATATGAGAATTCTACCTACTAAGCGACGCAATAGTAATTCAATCAAATCTTGTGTTTAACGGTTTCAACCATGCTCTTTCGAACGGTCGACTCCAAGAACTTTCAGAAAATCATGATTGTTTAGAAATTTCTTTCAATAAATAATTTTTCCTGCATATAATTTTGAATTCAGAAAATTTTTAATACTTGAACCTTGTGAAGAGAATTTTCAAGAAATGTTCGGTGAAAAACTACTTTTGTTTCATTTAAAAAGTTAAATTTGAAGTTCTTTAAGGGTTAAATGATCAGTCTCTGAAAACATTTGAGAAGAGTTTTAAAAACCTGATGAATGTGAAAAACTGTATTGATTCTATTGTTTTTCAGGCAATGAACATAATTTAAATAAATCATATATATGAATTATAAAATGAATCCATATGAGAATTTCAGAAGCTTATTAGCGTTAATGAATGCTAATGAATTTCTTGCACGTACCTTTCGATTGACTATAATTAACTCAGTTATTCAAAGCTTGTTAAAATGTATCGAGAAGATTGAAGAATAAAGGAGCGTTTCAAAATATATTCCAATCGGTCGATTATTGTTTCTCTATTTCGTTCATCATTTCGTTCAATCATTTTTTTTTTCCAAATGATAAGGTAATAGATGGAAACGCAATCTTTCTATCAACTGGTAGCCATTTCCAAATAAAAGCAGTAGGGTCTGATTTGTGAACATCTGCAATTTACATAATATACCTAGATGTATATCTAAATGTTCACATATTCAGATATTCTGATATTCAAGTTAGATATTTAGATATTCAGATGTTATAGAAATGGGGAAAAGGGAAGGTGGGGGTGGCAAGGGAAGATGAGAGTGAGGCGCTTCCTGATATTCGCCACCGTGAAAGAAAAGAGGAAGATATCTGAATATCTGTACATCTAGATATTATGTAAATTGCAGATTTTCACAAATCAGACCGGTCTCAATAAAAGACATTTTTGAATAACTTTTTTGTTGTGATTCCAACCAACAATCAATCTCACGATTCTTGACTAGAATCGCAAAACAGAAATTTAAGCTAATGAACTTGTAACTTTTAAAAGAACCTTGGAAATGAAAAATGCATATATAATCCATTTTTCATTTTCTTTTTCTATATAATGAGTGTTTCACGATGATCAGTTCGTAACTCTGGAACAGCTTTTTCATTTTTGTATCTGGACTCTATTTATGTTTTAAACAGTTTGTCATTACTGTTCAGTTTTTCGCGACGCGGCATATCAAGTACGTCTTCATCTTTAGAAGTAAAAGGTTACATATTAAAGTACGATATACAGTGACGGCCTATTTTACCCGTACTGTCTCTTCCAGTACTAAAAATTTGCTTTTACTCTGACTCATTAACTAATTTAACATATAGCAAAGAGCAATAAGAAAAGAGAAAAAATTCTGATATCAGTCAATACCCAAAAGCGTCCGAGAATGAGACTATTGGAGACCCGGTGCTGCATGAGGCCAATACCATGTTTGAACAGATCAACGCCAAAATTGAAGGAAAGATTGTTAAATTGGGACTGTATCTGTTTTTCAAAAAGACGGTTTTTGCTTTTCATTTTTGCTGGAAATGTCTTTACGTGCCGATTTGTGACAAGATGTCTTCCTAAGTATTTCGCATGAATATTTTTTCAACTGTCAAGTTATGCTTTCTTGAATTGTAAAGCGTGATGAAAAATGTGCCTGAAATGACGTCAAGTCTTCCGGTAGCTATTAACAGGTGAGTGCTTTTCATGAATTTTGATATCCTTGACGCCACTTATAAATCATTTTTAGTCATTTTTCGAAACTTTTTTCGTGAAATAGTAGCACATTTTGTACAGAATCGCACGTGTTACAAAAAATAGCATTTATCATCATTCATATGAATCATTGCATGAAATGGAATTTTGAATTAATTGATTTCGCATGTCGAGCATATTTTCGTATTCTTGATATATAGAATTTTTCAGTTTATTTGATTATGATATGTACCTTAAACAGACCATGAAATAGCCCATGAACAGCCTAGTTAAAAAATTCTTGAAATTCTTTTTGTTAATTTTTGGATGGAAAAAAAATTCATCGACTAATTTCATTTTCGAATTATCGTCTAACCACTTACAATTTATTATTATCAATGCCGTATATTTACCTATCCTAGGATAACATTTTTTCTTCCATATTCATTGATACTTCTCTCTCAGACGTTTCACTCTCAAGAGTGGTCTTTTTTTATAAAGCGCGCAGTCCAGGATATCTATAAAATAACAATTAGAAGAAAGGGGAAACATTAGTTTGCATTTATTTGCTCATGCTACACAATTTAGGACAGTGTAACTTGACAGTTGAAATGTTCAGGGGAAATACTTAGGAAGAGATCCTGTCACAAGTCGGCACGTAAAGACAACTTGCAGCAAAAACAAAAAGTTTCTACTTGTGCCTGTCTGACGAAAAGTGAAGACCGTCTTTCTGAAAAATCGATGCAGGCTCAATTTAACAAGCTTTTCCTTCAATTTTGGCGTCGATCTGTTTGAGCCATATTGGTTCGATCCTCGACGACTGAAAGCTGAAGGTACCCTAGATAGTCGCCTCGTCGAAACGAAAGTTGGAAAATCTCTAGACTGCGTAGCATGCCTTAAAGTGCTGTTATTCCAGGCTCATTTGTGACGCCAAAGAGCTTTCAATAGTGTGCGTTCTTTTGTTTTCTTCTCTTCCTTGGAATTCCTTCGCTGCAAATGTCTTCGACGAAATCAAATAATGACGTCACTTTCGTTCTGTTCTTCATCACTCCGAGATGTCTTCATTCACAATCTGATTCATTTCTTTCTTCCTCTCTCTTTCATCGCTCTTGTATTGAGTAAGGTTTTTTTCCAACTACACGTCAAACACACGCGAGCACAGTTTCATGCTATTTCCGATGTCACATCAAATAGAAAAAGGTAATGCACACATCCTACAGTTACTTGTAAGAGAAGCGAAAAAACGTTTACTCACCTTTTATTCAGATTCCAAGATGTCAGACGTTCTTTCTGGAGCGAAGCTGTTACCACAGTACGAGTACGAACATGAAAAACGGGTTTCTGTCGACAAAGACGAAGTTGAACTGACGGAAATCTTAACAGACACTGTGGCTATAAATGACGTCCCGCGATGGGCGAACAAATGTTCTGGTACGAGAACAGTTTTATCTCGGAAAAGATCTTCTCGCACTAAACGAAGACCATACTTCATATGGTTCATCTCGTTCGTGCAGGCAGCCGTTTTTATCGCCGAACTAGGCAAAAACTGGTCATTGACGGGTAGTCCCATCATGATAAAACCGGTATTCAATCCACTCATAGGACCAAGTTCTCTCGTTCTCATAAACATGGGTGCAAGATTTTCACCATGCATGCATGAAATGACAGCCGTCACAAATGATGATTCTATTGGATTTCCCTGTCCGAACTCGACAAAGAATATATACAGCTCATGTACTCTAAGCGAACTCTGTGGTATGGGGCGTCTCTCGACACCGCCCAACCAGTGGTACCGCTTCATACTTCCTATTTTTCTTCATGGGGGACTGGTACATATCGGTTTCAATCTCCTTGTACAAGTGTTACTCGGCTCAAAAATGGAGAGAAAAATTAGTGCATGGAGATTGGCGCCGATCTACTTTGCTTCTGGCGTTTTCGGATTCGTGCTCAGTGGTAACTTTGCCCCTCAAGGATCTGCCAGTATTGGATGTAGTGGCTCATTATTTGCCGTATTCGCATTGTTGCTTTTGGATCTTGTCTTCAACTGGCGTCACACGGAGCAGCCATGTAGGCAGATGGCTGCTGTATTATTTGACGTTTTGTTTTCCTTTTGTTTGGGATTATTTCCTAGTGTGGATAATTTTGGTCATGTTGGTGGATTCTTCATGGGTATACTATTAGGCCTGGCCATCTTGGGATCCCCGGCAGATTTATGCCCCATAAAAGAAACCAGTAATGCGGATGATGCATCGCTCTCGTTAACGCGTCGAGAAAGACTTAGGAAATTCTTTTACAATCGTTCAAAAAACTGGTGGACATGGTGGTTGGTACGCATCATTGCGCTCCTAGCAGCAATAATCCTTTTCGTCGGATTGACAGAAAACTTTTATTCCAACAGGATTAAATGCAACTGGTGCAAGCATATCAGTTGTTTGCCTATCAAAGATTGGTGTGATGTTGGCACGTTAACAACTATACAGAGGGTTTCACCACGGAAACAAACGTCCGTCCGAAAATAGTGTGGTACAGATACAAACAGTTCGTTTTTTAAACTGAGGACATGGTGATGGATTCTGAATATTTTTAAATTTCAAATTTTTAACTAGTAAAAGGTAAGTGAAGAAATGGTTTCTACTGAGCGTTATACTTCTCTGTTTTCTTTGTGTAATGTCAAACGAGATTTCTTTTCTTTTCTTTAACGTTATTCATATAATCTATATTCTACTACATTTAGTATATAGTTTTATTTTGCGACGCAACAGGAACAGAAAAATAGCTGTTGTTATTGCATTTTAGCCCGTTAAAGAAATATCGAAAACGCATAACCTTTTTAATGGGAAATGCATTCAAAACTGTAAAATGATCTTGAAGTAAATTATTCCAGACTGCATATATTCTGCTACTCGCCGTTAAGTATTTCTTTCCATTCTATCAGAAATGACGATGGAACCGGTCGTGGTATCTTCTTTAATTCTATCAGAAATGAATTCTGTTTGAGTCTCTAGTAACTAATCAGCGGTTGTAAAACTATACTAAATTAAAATTCTATCTAGTCGAGTTTCAAATTCCATACAAAAAATGCTACTTTCCTCCTTACCTCGCTCAATATCACCTCGTTTTTCCAAAGAGTCAG